AATGCGACCACGCAGGACCCGGGTAACATTTGGGCGCTGCCGATTGCAAAAGAGAACGTGCCACTAATCCCCACAAAACGTGGCCAAATTACCTTCTTTTTCTTCTTTTTCTGGGTCTTCCGGCTTGCAGAACTTTGTAGAAGGGCCTGGAGACAGGAAGGAAACATAAGAAGCCAGAAAGCAGACTCCTTTTTTTGGACAGCAGATAAAGAGAAATGCCTTTAGAGCAGAACGAGCACCGCCAGCCACCGAAGGAATGGTGGTAAGTCCTACGGGGCACAGCGATAGATGGGGAACGCCACGGCCTCACACCCTGCCGAGGCACGAGGCCTTGGAGCCAGCTGTTGACTTCTCAGCCACCCCTAGGAAAGGGCTGGGTGTCGTTACCGAGCCACCAGAGCTGGTGCTTGACGCAGGAAACAGGGACCCAACCTGCTCTTAAGCAAATCTTTTCCTTTTTAAGCTCACCGCCTCAGCCCCTCCCCTGCAGAATCTTCCGGATTTACTTCCCACCTTCACCCCGAGGGATGCAAAGACAGGGTGACCGGTGCGATGTGCAACATCTATTTATTATTATTATTTTTAAACCAACCTTCAGTTCTCCATCTTGCACCTCAAACTCCGACTTGTAGAGTTCCGGTTCAAAGGGGCCGCTGGTTATCCTCATGGGACCGTTGGGCATTAAAAGCACTGTGAATTTGAACTGTGCAACAAACTCTCCTGCAAGACAGAAACGGGCACTATTACGCCACAGCCCCCCCGTATCCGATCCACCAGGTATCTCGGCAGATGTTTCCAACCAGATGATTCGACTCCTATGCCATTCCCACACTGTCACTGCTAAAAACCATCTTGCAGGAACTTCTTAAACCTAACACGGCCAGGGCAAAAACAATTCCTTCAGCACCACACCCCCAAGCCTGCTCTGTAAGCAAGCCAGAGAGCCTCAGCCATCAATCTCTCCTCCTGCCCAGGAAACTACTCCACAAAAAATTTCATCTCATCACTGGAACGACTCCAAAACAAGATCCAGAAGCCAATGGGCAGCGAGCTTCCCGGAGGATAAATACCAGGGCCCTTGAAGTGCACCTCTGGTATTTATACAGCGACAGTCAGCACCGGTCTCACCAGACTCCGGAAGCGAGCGACGGTTGTCTGCCGAGCGCCCGGTCCACACCCGGCTCCCAGTCCTCCCACCGCCAGCACTCACCTTCCTTTTCGTAGAGGACATTGAAAGGCTGGAGCAGCTCGTGTTTGGCGCATTCCACCACCCCCATCCTGGCCTTCTTCTCATCCTCAAATGCCCTGCGGAGGAGACAGAGCCGCACCTGAGCTCAGGCCCTTTCCCAAAAGCCAGGTTCCACCCCACAGGTTTCAGAATTGCCCCCGGGGTCAGGCTGGAGACTTTATTCACTCGCATCCCCCTCGCCCCGGCAGCGTCGTGGTGCAGTGACAAAGCAGACGGCCAGAGCAGGCAACTGCCGGCTGAACTGTTACCTCCAGAGAGTGGAAAAGGCAAGTGGATTTAAGGATGAAGAGAGCCTGTCAAGCGAACTTTCTTTCCTTAGTGTGAGAGTGCATCACTTACAAAAATTGACTGGAATTGCCTCGCCTCTGCATGCTGCACCCTGACACTGCTTTCTCCCCTCTCTGTTTTATTTTAAACGCAATTCCCGGCTCCCCACCTGCCACGCGAAGCACAGGAGATTCTCAAATCCTCGGGCTCTGCCTGGGATTCCTGCTTAAGCCCGTAACATCCTTCCTCCACCCACTCCTAGGCTCAAATACAGCAAAGCCCAACGTAAAGCAGCAAAGGCTGCCTCCTCCTCCTCCTCTGTGACAGACGGTGAAGCAAGTCGGTTTTGCTGTCAGCATGGTCTGTAAGCTCACGCAAAGCATCTAGCTCTGAACACGCAGGGAGGCCACGAGTAAGAGCAAATACCTGAGAGTAAATGGCATAGTATCAAAGCGCCTCTCCACCTCACTGAAAAAGGCACGGGAGGTTTTCATCTTCAAGCCATACTGTTTGGAGGGGTCCCTTTTGTAAATTGTAGTTCTCTGTCCAGCATCCTTTGCCTGAAAATGCAAACAGAGCTGAGAGACCGGGAAAGCAGCGCAGCACTTCCTCAGCCAGATTAGCCAACCGCCTGCGTGCGCCGGGGCGTTCACATCGGACAAGCACCGTCCGTACTCCAACACCGTAAAGGCGCACCCTCAACTTTTTGGATGGAAAAAGTTCCACCCCAAAAGACACAGTGATACCCAGGCAACAAGTATTCCCCGGCTGGAACTGGCACCCACAAGGATGTGGCTGTTAGCCACTTGCTGCTGCCGACTATTCTGAAACGCGGCCGCTGCGACCACACGCACAGAGGAACAGCAGGGCAAGAAGCACCGGACTCACCTTTCCCTCTCCACTGCTGACGAGAACATCAACAGCGTAAACTTCATGGACCTCAAATTCTGCTTTTTCATGGTCCTTCCTGGATGAAAAGTAGTTTGGTGAGTCAAAGAATGGTAAACAGAGAAGACAAAGCCTCCTACACAGCCACAGTACCTCAGACAAGCCCACAGTGGGCTTAGCCAGCAAAGGTCTACAAGCGCAAAGAGGTGCTACGGTGACCAGGTCCCTGACCAGAAGAGCAGAAGCTGGCACGGAAGACGAAGTGGAAGATTAACAAGCCCCGCAGCAGAGCTGATCAGTGACAGGCTGGCAGAGAAAAACGACGACAAGCCAGTGCTCCTCCTGCCCGTGACAAGTAGCTCCATCCCCGGTAAAGGGTGGGAGGTCTCTTAGACATTCAGCACCAGCTCTTTGAACTTGTGGTCACGTCCCAGGCAGGCCAAGAGCCCCACCACGCCTGGTACATTGCTACGCCTGAGAACTTGCAGGCCAAGTGCTGGATTTAAAGCCACCGAGCTCCAAATAGTCAGCGCGAGACCCAACCCCGAGGGATCCCTGAGGGAGAGGAGCTGCTGGAACAGAACGGAATGACATATCCAGCTCATTAGCTCCAAACCATCCCGAGATGCTATTGACAGCGATCACCATCCAGTGGGCTCCTGGCAACTTCTGCGAGACAAACGACAGGTCTTGGCACAGCTCCTGGTGAATTAGCATCCACCGCTACAACTAGCAACAGTTGGTTATTTTGCTGGCAGCCTCCAGCAGACTCCTTCGAGAAACTGGACAGAAACCAAGAACGCTCGCAGGTGCCAGCGAGGAGCCTCGTGTCCGTGACTTCCAGCCTTTCTCTCTCAGAACAACCCCCAAACGCAGAGCCACACTTCACGTTCACACAGAACGGACAAGAAGATATGGGGCTAACAAGCTACGAGTTTGCCGTACTGGGTCGGACTTCAAGAAAAGAGGCCATACGGGGAGCAGTCTATACCCCGGTTAAATTAAACATACCTGCTACATCCCCCACTTGATACCGCAGCGAGAAAGGGGGTCACCATTCCGGACCTAGTCACACCCCTCCCAAATGCTGCTGGAAGCAGCAGCCCCAGAGGTGATGCTCACTTTTGCTGGTCTGTAGGGTTCTGGATGATTGTTTTCTCTCCATCGATCACATGCTGTTTCAGCTGGTGCGACAGCATCCCTGCCGCGATAAGAGAATCCATTAACACCTCTGAGCTGCAAACCAGCGACACGGTGACTTGCATTATTAACACTCCGGGGCCCGGGACTGCAGCCCTCAGCTAGAGCGAGCAGCAAAGCAAACAGTCACCGGCGTTAGCACTTCCTCAGCTTCCCTCAGTCGCGGACCGTCAAGTGCATTAGCACAGGCACGGAGCTCCCCAAAGCCCACTCTGACTTCAGCAACGCTTCCTCGCCAGCGAGGAGGAGCTGCAAGCTCCCGCGAGAGGAGCGGCCAGCTGCCGAGCCCTTTCCAGTACCGCCGCTTCTTGACTAGGCACGTGCACTACGCCAGCGGGCTGTAACGGACTGGAGGTGAACCCGCAGGCACGTGCGACCCGCCCTCGGGTGTTTTCAAAGATGCCAAATGTCAAATCAATGGAGACTTTCAGTCCTTTCCCCAGTACCTCGGCTGTACAGCACTCAAAGGGTAATTTGGGGGTGGGGGGGGTTGCTTCACTTTTCCCTTCTGTCCTACAGTTCACCTTCAAGTCGAAGTCTAGGAAGAGGTACTCGCGGCCATTCCTGTTCCGCTCCCCGAGCCCCCAGCCCAGCAGGGGCAGTCGCACGTCTCCGTTCGGGAAGGACCGGCTGCTGCTGGCGGGAAGGGAACGCACAGCCCCGGCCGCCAACAGCTCCGTTTGTTTTCATCAACTGGGGCCTTATGCTGCTGCCAGTGCCTAGATAATTACGGCACTTGACTGTTTCCAAAACAGTGGCTGCTTAAACTCCCTTGACAGTGCGAGCGGCCGCCTCCTCACTGCAGCTGATGCCATGTTTTTTCACAGAGAAAGGAGCAAAGCATTGAGGAGACCCACAAAGCCATCCCACACAAGGAACAGGGAACCGATGTTCCGAGACTGGGCTAAGGCGAGCGAAGAGAACGAGCCAGCTTTAGGGTATTTCAGGAAATTTAACTAATAATGGACCAATTTAATTGTGGCTGAAAGAACCATTTGACAGTGATGTCACCGATTAGGAGAAAAGCATCTGCGTGTGCCAAATGTCGGGCTAAGCTCTCTCGCCACCTTTCAGACAAGAAGCCAGTGGTCTCATTTCTACCAGAAGCTACCCCAGAGCCTTCCCACTCGCCCGTTATCAACGCTGCGAAGAGAACGTGAATCAGTTTAGAGCTGTAAGGAAGGAAATTACATACCCTGCACATCTATGGGCTTCTTTTGCAGCGGCCCTTGCATTACAAACAAGCTCTGTTATGTATCCGCTAAAGGGGTTTTAACTATGAGTGGTCAAGTGTGAAAGCAAAGGGCCACGCGATTTGCCCAAGGTCAGCAGGGAGTCCACGAGCCAGGACACTACCCATCAACAACAATAGACTGTGGAAGCCCACGTCTATTGTTCCTAGATTAACGCATCTTTAAAAATAAAAGGAAAAAAATAGAGGAAGGAAGAAGAACCTAGAGAGTTTTGAAGGGATTTTTTTTTTTTTAGCTGAGGCCGCTGCATTTAAAGATGGCATGTCTAGGACTCGTAGTCATTGAAAGTTTCCCAGAATTTGAATAGGGCAGCTCAGGATTTAGTGTGCAGCTAAAACGCCGCTACCTCCGATCAGCTGCTCCCCCGTCCTTACCTTCGATCGGCGTGCAGTGAAACGAGTGGGCTATTTTGTTCCATGCGTCTGTCACTTGTGTGTTCTGGATGAAGAACACATGAAAACACATTAAGGATATAACATTCAAGCCACAAGCATGACAAGTTTTTTTTAACTCGACAGTGTTCTGTAATAAAACCAGCAGGTTTTCTAACCGACTGGTGCTCTAACACCTCCAAGAAAAGGAGAAACGGTGTCAGGCTTCCATTTTTAATCCTGTATCGGCAAAACCAACATGTAACATGAGGTCAGCTCAGCCTCCCGCGCTGCACCCAGTGCCTTCTCACAAGCCATCCAAAACACATTAAGGATAAAAAATAAAAGCCACAAGCATGACAAGTTTTTTTTAACTCGACAGTGTTCTGTAATAAAACCAGCAGGTTTTCTAACCGACTGGTGCTCTAACACCTCCAAGAAAAGGAGAAACGGTGTCAGGCTTCCATTTTTAATCCTGTATCGGCAAAACCAACATGTAACATGAGGTCAGCTCAGCCTCCCGCGCTGCACCCAGTGCCTTCTCACAAGCCATCCCTCTTTAAGGGATTTCAGTAGGAGCTAAGAGCGACACGAGTATGTTTGGAGTAGTGACACAGCGACAAAGGAGATCGCCTACGACTGCTGCGGCGCCCGAGCACCAGGCGAGGGAGAGGTCCAAGTGGGAGATTTGAGGGAGCACTCTTCGGCGGAGTCGCTGTGCGTGCCCAGCTGCCTTCAGCGAGGAAAGGACCGGCGAGTAGGAGCACCGAGGCTTCTCTGCGAAGCCACCGTCGCACAAGGAAGAGCTCGGGTCCCGCAGGGAAGCCAGAGCTGCTGACAGAAGAGTCGCCGCCACCCGCCCCGGCGTCCGGTGCTCACCCCAGCAGCAGCTCAGCTGTCCGCAGACAGCTGCTTCCAGATTCCCCACATCGCTGGGCAAGGACACACGCTTTTATTTCTGCGCACGAAGCGTGGCGCAGGCAGCGTCTGCACTTGAGCTCCTCGCCCCCTTCCCCCGTATCAGTCACTCACCTGGTTTCCAGGCTTTACCAAGCGCAGAGCAGCTTCAGCACAGAGATGAGCCGCCTTGATGACATCAGCTTTACGGCCTGACACAGGGTTTTCCTGGAAGAACAGAAAAATAAAGGCTTTTTAAGGTACGTTCCCTGCCCTCTTATTAGCAAGAACGCTGTTCTGAGTGTCTAGAGATGGAGATTCTCCGTCGAACTGGACACCCTCCCCCTGAGCGAATGGGGAAATCTAGCTCAGAGGTGGAAGGGCTTCTGGCTCCACAGCTCGATCATTAGTCTCTCCTCCATTAAAAGAGCAGATGAGTATCAGCCCCAACCAAATTGTCTCTCTCACAAGTTTCAACAGAGACACTCTAGTACAAGCGCATCACTGTCAAAGACCGAAAACAGAACAAGACTCTCCTGTAGCCAGAAACGTGGACCAGAAAGATTTCAATACACTTCAGAAGATTGGGGGTTTTTTGTCTTCTCCCCATCAAGTCGTTCAGACACAGCCACTGGAGAAAAACCATTCCCAAGACCCCACACCGCCACCCTCCTCCCAGGACTACAGCTAAAAATTTGTTCCGAGCTTATGCGACAACTTTACGCACACAACAGTAACTGCCACCGCATGAGTGTGGCTTAGTGTCACTTCCAAAACGCCCGACCAAACCACGCGTGCCACGGTGGTGTCCTCACCAACACGCGCCGGGGCTGTATGCTGCGATCAGCCCCGAGTGAGAAAAGTCCGCGCTGGCGTGTTCAGGCAGGAGAAGCGGGCCGCAGGGACCAGTTTTGGGGTCCGAAGAACAAGTCGCCCCCGAGCTGAGTTTGCAAAGGTGAAGGCAGCGACTCCCAGCAGTGCGGCGCTCGGCTCCCTGTCCCTCGGCCAGTAGAGGGGGCAGCAAAACCAGTCTGCCCAGTCCGCCCCACAGCCCCAGACACTCGACATGCAAATAACTCACTGCAGCGCCACTCACACCTGGTTTGTCTCAAGTTATTTGTAACCTTGCAAAATTGTACATGTTGAAACAGCGCGTCAGCCCTCATTTTCCAGAGGACCGAATAATTTTTAGGAAAGGGACGGTTTTCACCCTGTCACTGCTGTGACACCAGACCTGCGGCGCTTCTGCGAAACAAAGCGGACGCCTCTCCGAGGCCCCGTGCCGCTGCTGCCTTTGGAACCAGGGGCACCCCAACATCAGCTTTTAGCCTCTCCTTTAGGCTGCACGTACAGCAGCAGCGGCAAGAGGCACCGCTCCATCGCAAACCTACCTTTGAGGCGTCTATGACAAAACTGTGTGCTACATTCGCTATGAAGCCATCGACATGGACTCCCAAGTCACTGCAACACAAAGAGAGTTAATTACAGGTGGGGCGTCACGGCTCGGGAAACTTGTGTGACTTCTACAAGTACCAGAAGACTCAAGCATGTTTCAAGCGCTTCACTTGACTAGCTATTAGATTCTTTAATTAGCCATGCCGAGGAAGTATTTAACACACCAAGCAGGATTAGAAAGCAAAGCCCAGATGCCAACAGTAAACCACAAGAAGTATAACCAAGACGCTTACATTTTGACCAAGTCTCCGTCTTTGAGGATGTAGTCTTGGTCACTCTTCAGGGCGCTTCACTTGACTAGCTATTTCATTCTTTAATTAGCCATGCCGAGGAAGTATTTAACACACCAAGCAGGATTAGAAAGCAAAGCCCAGATGCCAACAGTAAACCACAAGAAGTATAACCAAGACACTTACATTTTGACCAAGTCTCCGTCTTTGAGGATGTAGTCTTGGTCACTCTTCAGGGGGGAGAAGTGACAGACACAGTTATTTACCGATATACTCGTTGGGAAGGCAATACCTACAAAGGGAAAAAAAACACATTCCATGAAACTGTGCAGCCTCACGCCCGGCGCAGGCAGCAGCCCTGCCACGGTGGGTCGTCACTCAGGGTTTTGAAGCGCTGTGAAATGCCCCATGACACAAGTCTCTAGCCAAAGAGCCACGAGGAACGCAGCGCGTGGTCTGCTCCCGCACCGGCTCTCCTTTCGCCCAGGCAACCGTCAAAGAAACACATCCAAGGTGGTGAGACACCTGCAGAAGGGACCTCAAGTCTCCAGAACAGAAATCAGGGAGCTCTGGGTGACACACTCGAGTGTCACACAATTTCCACGGCAGCTACAGACCAGCGATAGATAACTGTAAGGCAGCTCTTCCAGACGGGAGGACACTGAAACAAGAGTTACTTTGGACAACAACGTGGATGACTGGGTGCACTGAAACGGGAAGCTGAGGTTCATCAGTGACGCTTGCTTACCAGCAGGCCAGGCAGGAGGATTTGGGTTAAAATTGGCTTTCTGAGAACGGCAAACTATTTCTTACACTAATTAGCACAGAGTAGCGCCTTCTGTGCTCTTGCCCATTCACACCAGCGGGACCAAAAACCATGGCCACGCTGAAAAAAAGTCTTTGGAGCAGGCCTCACCTTTTTTCATTTCTTTTTCCTTCTTGAAAATCTTGCCAGTCTCTTCCATGATCATGGCATCTCCCTTCTCGCACAGGCAGAGAACCGACGCTCCGGAGTTCGCCTCTTCGACCACCGCACGCAGGACCCCTTGATTCAAACACAGACACGGCGCTGTTGAAGCATGTTAACGATAAACAGCCTTAAATCTAACACCAACCCGCATCACGCAGCACCGTGGCGGAAAGACCTGTTTGTTTCCCGAGAGGGAACAAGGCTCTGGACTCAGCTCTTCACCAAAAGGACCCGTGGACAGGCAGAAATCCCACTTTAATTTTTACTTTGTTTTCAAGAACGTTTTCACAGAGAGCGTGAGCAAACGAACGTACGCTGGGGTTTGCGCAGGTGAAGCGCCGCAGCTTCAGACACCTGCCTGCGCAGACCGAGGCCTGTCAAACAAAGCAGCCGAGCAGAAACACCGCTCTCCCACATTCTTTCTGGAGAAGTCAGAGCTACAGAAACAGGTTTGAAAATTACTCGAGAGACGGGACGCGCAGCACATCAAAGGAGCAGGGGCCACTGCTGTGGACGTGCGGGACCAGAGGTACGGAGCAGCTGAAAGACTTTGCCAGGCACGAGAGCTGGCAGCGACACAGGACCAGTGCAGCAGAGCCAGTTACGTTAGTCCCTTACTCTGCGGAAACGTGTTTTAAAGGTAACCCACGTGCTCCTGCTCCGGCCTGGCAGCTGCCAGCGCGCCGCCTGGCACAAGGAACTCCACACGCCTTGCTCCACGCCGTAGGTCGGAAGAAGTTTTGCTGCCTGCACCCACTTTTGGCCACATTCTAGTGCCCACGAGTCCCAGCAGGGTTTCGGTTGCGCCGTAGAGGACAGCGTGCCTCGTGCTTTATAGGATAAGTGGGGAAAGGAGCGTAAAAGCGGCGGCTTTGGTTGAAACACTGCAGAGTGACATTCGCAAACACACCTCGATGGTGTTACAGGAGCAGGGGCCCGGGGGCTGCTGGAGGAGCCACATCTCGACGGCCTCCCCACCAGTCCGGGGGCCGAGGCGCTCTGGCTGTCGCCGGTGGACCCCCGAGCTGCTATTTCCCCCTCTCTCCAGCTGGGACACTTTACAGGGAGTCATAAAGCTTACCCTGAAATGTTTTTGGATCCTGGGATAAAAGGTATCCTCACAGTTTCTCCTCGCTCTGTGAGCACATTGTTTTCACAAGAGGCTGTTTTGTGAAGTGCCTCTGTTGGGTGGGAGTTTCTGTAACCGACGGCGTGTGTTCTAGATACAACAGCAATAAATATTTCGGAAGTGCTGAAGGGGACGTTTACGGGCAGGCGGGTTTTCATAATTTCTTTGACACCGAAAAAAAACTGAAGTCTTTCACCTGCATGACGAATTAAATTTCAAATCCCTTCAGTCACCTTTCCATGAGCCACAAAGAATGACAAATTGGGAATATTTTTAAGCAGAGATAAAACTCTGATAAAGAGACTTTCGGTGGACAGCAGGACAGAGAGAGGTGAGAAAGGAAATGTTAAAACAAACACAGTGCAAAGATGAACGGAGAGCCGTGCTCATCAGAGCATTCACGTGAAACCAAGCAGCAGACAGCGCGATAGCACTGACCAAGGAACACCTACTAATTGTGCTCTGGCCTTCCACGGCGCTTCGTTTAGGGAATTAAAAGCACTTTATGTCATTAACGGCACCTCGCTCTGACAAGGCCCCAAGGCATTGTGAACTTTTTGACACAGTTCTGTGTTTGCTCTTCCCAAACGTGCTCGCACCACCCGTGAGGGAGAAGAGACGCTGCGATGGAGCCGCCTTTCCCCCATGGGAAGGGAGGCGGCCCCTCCGCGCAGCCAAACTCGGGGCACGCTGTTAAATCCTGTTTGCCCAGCAGACGGGAGAAGCCAAAACGGCGACCTCCCTTCCCAAAGGGGAACCCGCATCGTTGCGGCGCTCAGCCCCGTGTCTCTCTCCTGAGCTGCAGCCCAAGTTACCGTCAGGAGCGATGACTTAAAAAGAAGCGTCGAAGTCAGCAACAATTAGTGTGGGACACGCCACTACCGAGGCTGTTCGTAACGCCGGGAAGACCTCATAGAACCGGTCCAGTTAGCTCTTTAAGCGGCTGTCACCCTTCTCGAGGGGCGGCTAACCACCATTAG